TGCGTCACGTATTACAAAAAATAAATTATTAAACTTTTAGCTGCCGATTTATTTATTTATTTATTTAATTTTCATTTAATTTACATTTAAAAAGAAATAAAATTTCTCGTTTAACAATAAACTTATTAGGAAGTAGCAGAATTATTATAGTAATTATGGAGTGAATTTCACACAATATTTTTACTAAAATTTATTCAAATTCATAATTAAATTATACAAAATTTTAAAACTGCAGTAAATTTTATTAATTTTCATTAACTAAAATTACAAAAGTTCGAAAGTAATTATTTTACTAATTTTATAAAGTTTTACTTCGAAAAAGATATAAAATTTACTCCAAGATAATATTAAAAATTCTAGTGTGAATTTTATCCTAATTTTTACTAAAATTCTTAAGTAAATTACAAAAATTTAAAATCTGTAGTAAATTTTAAATTTATTTGAGAAATATTAATAATTCTGAAATCAATTTTTACTAATTTTTTTCTAAAATTTACTTTCAAAGAAATCAAATATACGCCAGAAATATAAAAAATTCTGAAGTAAATTTTATTAATTTTTTTTTAACGCTAAAATTTATTAAAGAAATAAAATTTACAGTATATTAAAAAATTCAGAAGTAAAAATTGTACAAATTTTATACTAAAACTAAACACTTAACTACCATAATTTAACAACAAATTTAATTTGTTATTTAGGAATATTTACATTTTTCGAGGAATTCGATTAAAATTGTATTAAAAATAATTGAAATTCTCAGACGAGTTTTATTATTTATTTAAAAAATTAAATTCCTAAAAAAAATTTTATTATTTACGAAAATAATTGAATTATTGCGAAGAAGTATATATACAAAATTTGTAAATAATTGAATTTGTGTAAAATTTTTATTATTTATGAAAATAATTAAATGTTTGCGAAGAATTTTATTAAAAATTTTTTTTAAATAATAGAATTAAGTTGGAAAATTTTATTAAAATAGTAGATATTGAAAATCATTGAATAGAGAAAAATGTTTGAAAATAATTGAATTTTGGAGAAGAATTTTATTATTTATTTAGATAATTCAAATTTTGACGAGAATTTTTTTTAATTTTTGAACATATAATTCAATTTTTGTAAGAATTTTAATAACATTTTTGAAATTAATTGAATTCTTTAATGGAATTTAGTTAAAATTATGTTTTGAAACTATAATTAAATTTTTTATAGCGAATTTTATCAAAATTTTTGAAAATAATTGAATTCTATGGGAGAATTTTATTAAAACTTTTAAGAATAATTGAATTCCTGATTATTATTTTAGTATTTATTAAAATAATGGAATTTTAAAAAAAAATTGTAAATAATTCAATTATTCGACTGTATAAAATTTATGAATTTATCTACTTTATATTTATGAAAATTTTTAAAAATAATTGGAATTTTGACAAGAATTTTATTAAAATTTTTGAAAATAATTGAATTTTGGAGAAGAATTTTATTATTTATTTAGATAATTCAAATTTTGACGAGAATTTTTTGAAATTTTTGTAAGAATTTTATTAAAATTTTTAAGAATAATTGAATTCCTGATTATTATTTTATTGTTTATTAAAATAATTGAATTATTGCGAAGGATTTTTTAAAAAAATTATAAATAATTGAATTATTCGACTGTGAAATTTATATTATTTATAAAAATTATTGAATTCAGGGAAATTTTTTAAAATAATTGAAATTTTGCCAAGAATTTAATTAAATTCTTAGAAAATAATTGAATTTTAAATAAGAATTTTATTTATAAAGATAATTGAAATTTTAACGAGAATTTAAAAAAAATTTTAACGTAATTAAATTTCTGTGAAGAATTTTATAACTTTTAAAAATAATTGAATTTTCGCAATATCGATTGTAAATTCTCCAAATTTCAATTATTTTTGTGTATTTAACTATAAAATTCTTCTAATGAATCCATTATTTTGAATAATTAATTAAATAAATATATTTTTTCAAAAATTGACACAATTTCAGAAAAAATTGAATTATTAAAATTTTTCAAAAATCTAAATTCTTTAAAATTTCTATAATTATATAATTTATTCAAAAATGAAGTTTTATAAAATTTCAAATTAAAACCTTCTAATGTTCATCTGTATATGAAAATTGTAAACGCGACTATTTTAAAATGCAATTAATTTTGTAATATTTAAGTAAAATTATTCAATAAATAATTTTTAAGTATAATAAATTTTATGATAGTTCTTCAAGAATTAAGTTATTTAAATATAGAAAATTATTGTCAAAAATAGAATAAATTGAAGGTTTTGTATTAGAATTCATGGTAATTTCATAGTTTATGAGACAAACAAAAAAAAACACAAAAATTAAGAATTTTTTTATGAATTCTAAAAATTAAATTTTTTTCAGTTATTTTTCAATAAAAATCCCTGACTTTTCCCTATGATTTCCCTGACCAATTTAATTTTTCTGAATTTCCTGACATGCGTGGCAATCCTGTTAATAAGATTGCAGTATTTTCAAGGATATCAAAATTGAGACAAAAGAAGTGTCAAAATTGGTGATTCTAAAAAATTTAATTTTTCTCAGTATACTTTTAATAAAAATCCCTGATTTTCCTGACGTGTGGCAATTCTGTTAATATTACAGTATTTTTAAGGATATCAAATTGAGACAAAAAAAAGAGTCAAAATTGTTACATCGCAACCATTTTGACACTTTTTTTGGCTCAATTTATTTATTGTATTTATTTATACTTATTTTATTGTTGCATCGCAACAATTTTGACACTTTCTTTGTTTTAATTTGATATCCTTAGAACTACTGTGGTAGCATAAATAATTAAATTGATATAAATTATAAATAAATAAAATCATGTAAATTAATATAAAAAATACAGTTTAATCAGCAACTGTATGATAAAAGTATAACCGTTAATACAAACTATTCTCTAAAATAAATTAAAAACAAATAAAATCCGAAAGAACGAAACAACTCCATAGACAAAGGACTTTTTGCGATTTCTCAATCTCATTTTAAATTGGATTTTTCATATACGTATGTAATAAATTTTTTTTTCGCCACACATATATATGATTAAATGCTTCCAAATGAAAGTCATTATATCAAAATATATATACATTCAGAAGTCTTGTGCCTTCTTTATTAACCCTTTAACGCCCAGTGGTACATACGCTGTACCACAAATGCATTAAAGTCATCATAACTTTGAAACTAATACATATTACTAAAAATTTTAAATTCTTAGCTCTAGTAAAACTCTTCTAGCAGATAATTTAAAAAAACAAAAGTAAAAAAATAATAATAAATAATAAAAATAATAATAAATAAAAAAAGTGTCAAGATACATTTTCTCCTATGACGGACGAAAAAATTTTAAAAAATTAATCAGATTCTTTTAAAACTTGTTACTCGGGGGTTTTTGGGGTCGCTGATTACGAATATGAAGTTAAAATTGCAAAATTCAAAATGGCGGATCCAATATGGCGGACGAAAAAATAAAAATTAATGGGATTTATATGAAACTTGTCACTTGGGGGTTTTTGGGGTCGCTGATTACGAATATGAAGTCAAAATTGCAAAATTCAAAATGGCGGATCCAATATGGAGGACAAAAAAAATAAAAAATAATGGGAGATATATGAAACTTGTCACTCGGGGGTTTTTGGGGTCGCTGATTACGAATATGAAGTCAAAATTGCAAAATTCAAAATGGCGGATCCAATATGGAGGACAAAAAAATAAAAAATAATGGGAGATATATGAAACTTGTCACTCGGGGGTTTTTGGGGTCGCTGATTACGAATATGAAGTCAAAATTGCAAAATTCAAAATAGCGGATACAATATGAAAAACAAAAAAAATAACAAATTAATGGGATTTACATTAAATTTGATGCTTTGGGTTTTTGGGGTTTCTGAGGTTAAAATGTTAAGAATCATAATGGTGGATTTAATAGGGCGAATTATGTTTAATAAAAGTAAGAAATTTAATCCATTTGTGAAAGGAAACCTGGAACGCTTGACTCAAACGAAAAAGAACAAATGATAATCAGCTGGCCAATCAATAAAAACAATTGACAACCCTGGAGCGCATGACTTGAATGAAAAAGAATAAATGATAGTCAGCTGGTAACAATATTCAAGTAAATCCTATTTAATTTTTAATTCTTGTCCGCCATTTTAGATCCGCCATTTTGAATTTTGCAATTTTGACTTCATATTCGCAATCAGCGACCCAAAAAACCCCCGAGTGACAAGTTTCATATAAATCCCATTATTTTTTATTTTTTTGTCCGCCATATTGGATCCGCCATTTTAAATTTTGCAATTTCGACTTCATATTCGTAATCAGCGACCCCAAAAACCCCCGAGTGACAAGTTTTATATAAATCCCATTATTTTTTATTTTTTCGTCCGCCATATTGGATCCGCCATTTTGAATTTTGCAATTTTGACTTCAGATTCGTAATCAGCGACCTCAAAAACCATTATATACCAAGTGTGGTTGAAATCGAATCGGTGGAAATAATTCGGGCTTTAAAGGGTTAAAAAGTGTATATATATATGAAAATGTTATTGGGAACAAAATGCCGTTCACTTTTTTTCCATTAAAGGCGGGTTTTATACTTGGGACCACGCCGCCACTCGCAAGCGCTAACCCTCGCGAGGGTAGCATCATCAGTGTGCACCACGATACCATACAAAAGTATATCCTTCGAAATTACCACCCGTCGAATTAGCGTTTAGAAAATTGCCCTACTCACTCTCTTCAATCTCATGGGGACTGGACTCTCTTCCCCCATTCCCCAACCGCCTTTTAATCCGCTCTAAGGGTGAACTCAACTTTTAAGGGGGCACCCTTCAAAGGGCGGGGCCCCAACAAAGGACCCCTTCTGTAAACCAACCCCTGGGTGGAGTTTCTCTCTCTTATATATTTTCGAACTGGTCCCCTTCTCAATTCAGAAAACGTTGCACCGCTCAACTGTTAGCATCAGTCCTAGAAAAATAGTTCAGTCGAAAAAAAAGTTGTAGGAAGAGTAGCCGAAAACGTAGTCAAAAAAAAAAAATAGGACGAAAAGGGAAAAATTGTTTCGGTTTTTTTAATGGACGTTAAAAATTGGATTAACAAACAGTGAAAAAGTGTATAGTTGTGATTATTTTTTTTTCTCGTGAACTTGTGCAGGTGAAGAGAAAAAAAAAAGACAAAATGTCACGAAGCTTCCTGGTGGATTCGTTGATTGGGAATAATTCGCCGCCAAATTATCCCCTGCCTTATTATACGGGCAATCAACTGCCCAACTATATGTTCAATTTATTTAATCTCGGTCTTGGATATCATCCGGTTAGACCTGTGCCGAGACCGCCAACTTTGCCGGTTGTTCCCGTGCCAATCTGCAATCCTCAAACTATTGTTGGACTTCCGATGACCGGACAGAGTCCGCCTTCGCCTATTAATTCCTCCAGATTATCAGGTAATTAGCAATTTTCCCCTTTTTCAATTTTTCCTTTTTTTCAATTCTTTCCTTTTCTTTTCAATTTTTTTCTTCTTTTCAATTTTTTCAATTTTTTCCTTCTTTTTAATTTATTCCTTCTTTTCAATTTATTTTCCCTTTTTCTCAATTTTAGATATTATTATAGTATTTATTTTCATTTTTCCCTTGCAATAATTTTCCTCCGACCGAAAATTATTTTTTACTTGTTAATATATTTTTCCCCTTCTATATTAATCTTTAAATAAAATTTTATTTGTTTATTTATTTTTATATAAATTTAAACAGATTTTAATAAAATCTTTAACTTTAAACGAACTTCAGATACAAAGTATTTAATAATTTTTCTCCGATAGTAAATAATAATAAATGATAATAATAAATAACAATAAGTAATAATAAAAATTCTATAGTGTTTTTTGGAAAAAACAATTTCTTCTTGTAAATAAAAAAATTAAATAAATAGCAAAAAAAGAAACTAAAAAAATAGGAAAAACTTGCTTTTATCGTTTACTATTTTTTCACTATTTTACTATTTACATTTTAAGAAATTGTAAAAATGGGTAAATAGTAAAAAAATAAAAAAATAAAACCTTTAATAATAAAAAAATAGGAGCGAAATCAATTGTCCATACAATCCAACTGCATACAAGCGCGAGTTTTCAAATTAAAATTCGTAAATTTAATTTTCAATTTTTACAAATTTAAACTGTATACGATTAAAAGTTAGCAATTTTCATAAAAAAATAAAATTAATAAAATTAATTTAAATTGCATACAATAAACTGCATACGAGAACATATTGCATAAAAACAAATTTTAATAATAAAATTAGCAAATTTAATTTAAAAAAATTTACAAACTTAAACTCTATGCGATTAAAAATTACGAATTTACATAAAAATATAAAATTAATTTAAACTGCATACAATAAACTGCACAAGAGAAAATTGCATAAAAACAAAAGTTTAATAATAAAATTAGTAAATTTAATTTAAAAACTTTACAAATTTAAACTGTATTCGATTAAAAATTACGAATTTTTATAAAAATGTAAAATTAATTTAAACTGCACAAGAGAAAATTGCATAAACAAAAAATTTTAATAATAAATTTAGTAAATTTCATTTAAAAAATTTAAAAATTTAAACTTTGCGATTAAAAATTACGAATTTCCATCAAATTATAAAATTAATTTGGGTATCCATTAATTTAAACTGCATACAATAAACTATTGCACAGGAGAAAATTGCATAAAAACAAAGTTTAATAATAAAATTAGTAAATTTAATTTAAAAACTTTACAAATTTAAACTGCATTAGAATTAAAAATTAGAAACCTTGAAAAAAAATTAAATCAATTTGAACGAGTAATCTGCATAAAAAGCAAATTTAGAAAATTAAAATTGTTGAATTTAATTTAGAAACTGTATAAATTTAAATTGGATAAGAATAAAAATTACAAATTTTGATAAAAAAAAAAATATTAAATTAATTTGAACTGCATAAGGAAACTGCATGCAAGTAAATAAATAAATTTACTTAAGCTGCAAGCTTATTTTAATTAAAAAAAGCTTTCATGCAGTTTTTCCGTATGCAGTTCAAATTAATTTACGGTTTTATTTATTAAAATTTGTAATTTTTAATCGTATGCAGTTCAAATTAATTTAATGTTTTTTTTTTTAAAATTTGTAATTTTTAATCGTATGCAGTTTGAATTAATGTAATATTTTTATTAAAATTTGTAATTTTTAATCGTATGCAGTTCAAATTAATTTAATGTTTTTTTTTATTAAAATTTGTAATTTTTAATCGTATGCAGTTCAAATTAATTTATTTTTTTAAACTAAAATTTGTAATTTTTAATCTTTTGCAAATTAAAATTTCTACAATTTTTAAATTAAATTTAATAATTTTAAATTTCCTAAATTTTGCTTCTTATGCAGTTTTCCCGTATATGCAGTTCAATAAATTAATTTTTTCTCAAAGTTTGTAATTTTTAATCTTATATGCAGTTAAAATTTATAAAGTTTTTAAGTATAAAATTTAGTAATTTTATTTTTCAAATTTTCTCGCATGCAATTGAAATTAATTTAATTCTTTTCTCAAATTTTTGTAATTTTTAATCGTATATGCAGTTTATAATATTTCTATTTTCTTACTAAAATTTACAAATTTTAATCGTATGCAGTTTGAAGGTTAGCAGTTTAAATTTTCGCAGTTTTTAAATTAAATTCAAAAATTTTCATTTTTAAATTTGCTTGTATGCAGTTTTCTTGTATAGTTATGCAATTGATGCCGTACCAGAAAAAATAGCATAAAAAACTGTAAAATAGTAGCAAAATAAATATAGTTAAATAATAATAAAGTATCAAAATAAATAGTCAAATAGTATAAAAATAAATAGTACAACTGTATAGCAAAATAAATAGTAAAATAGTGTCAAAATAAATAGTAAAATAGTAGCAAAAAAGGAACAGTAAAACAATAGTAAAATAAATAGTAAAATAGTATCAAAATAAATAGTAAAATAGTGAAAAAAAAAAAATAATAAACTTTCCCACAGTCTGTCTAACAATTATTCTCCTATGCTTACAGATTTCTCAGCCTCGAATACATCGCCATCACGTCAAAGCAATTCGCCAACTCCACCGCCAAAATCTCCAAATTCCATTAACAATAGTTCGAAACGAATTAGAACCGCATTCACCAGCACTCAACTACTTGAACTCGAAAGAGAATTTTCCTCCAACATGTATCTGTCACGTCTGAGACGCATTGAAATTGCCACAAATTTACGTCTCTCCGAGAAGCAAGTGAAAATATGGTTTCAAAATCGTCGCGTCAAATACAAGAAAGAAGATCTACCATCCGGTCAATCTCAAAAATGCTGCTGCCTAAGAACATGCGGCAAGAAGAAGGACGGTTGCATGGAGGAAAATCAAAAATGTGAAAGCGCTGATTTAGAGCTGCAAAAACGTGACGACGATGATTATGAGGAGGCGGATGTCGCCGAAGACGAAGACGACGATGGTATTAGCGTTGAATCGGATAAATTGAGTGTCAATAAGAAGGAGGGAATAAGAAGAAATTCGATCGAAGATTCAAAGAGCATCATTCCAAATAGTAATGCCGCCGCCGCTGCTGCTGCTGTTATTGAGGGTACGGAATTTTCTTCAATGGGTCGTATTTCCTTTGCCGAGGAGTTTCCACTCACTAATTCACCGACATCGCCAATTGTACAACTTGATGCAAAGTCCAATTGGCATCCTTTTCGGTATCCGCTCGTTTCAAACTCCTTGAATCAAGTTGATGATCATTCTAGTGGTCGGGGATGTAAGAGAACTTTGGATTGCTATCAGGAATTAACGCCCGCTGAGAAGAGGAAAAGAATTGATTCACCTGCTTCCTATTCAACTGTTCTCATGCAAACTACTATTGCACCACCGCCAATTTTCACGGCAATGGCGTGCACTAAACATACGGTTGAAAATATTGTCAATTCTTAGAATTGTTGTTTGGCATTTTCAATTTTTAGAAGGGGAGAAAAAGTTTAAATTACAAAAGAAGGAATAAATTTCAATTGCAGAAGAAGAAGAAGAAGAAAATTTCAATTATAAAATAAAAGAATTTCAATTCTATCAGGAAAAATTTTCTCTTGTAAAAAAGATTTCAATTATAAAAGGAAAAAATTTCAATTATTAAAAGAATTCAATTGCAGAAGAAAAAAAATTCAATTTTAGTAGAAAAAAGTTTCAATTATAATAAAAAAATTCAATTATAAAAGGAAAAATTGTAATTATAAAAACAATTTAATTATAAAAAAAATTCAATTATAAAAGAGAAAAATTTCAATTCTAATAGAAAAAATTTAATTACAGAAGGAAAAAATTTCAATTATTAAAAAAAATTGCAATTATAGTAGAAAAAAGTTACAATTATAATAAAAAAATTCAATTATAAAAGGAAAAAATTTCAATTCTAACAGAAAAAAAATTCAATTACAGAATGAAAAAATTGTAATTATAAAAAAAATTCAACTATAAAAGAAAAAAATTTCAATTATAATAGAACAAATTGAATTACAGAAGAAAAAGTTAATTATAAAAAAATCCGATTATAAAAGGAAAAAAATTTTAATTATAATTTTAAAAAATCCCTTTACACCAAAATGTAAATTCTAAAAGAATTTCAATTATATGAGGAAAAATTTTCTCTTGTAAAAAAGATTTCAATTATAAAAAAATTTCAATTATAAAAAATTTCAATTGTAGTGAAAAAAAATTTCAATTATAAAAAAAATTCAATTACAGAAGGGAAAAATAGTAATTATAAAAAAATTAATTTATAAAAGGAAAAAAATTTCAATTCTAATAGAAAAAATTCAATTACAGAAGGAAAAATAGTAATTATAAAAAAAAATCCGCTTATAAAAGGAAAAAATTTCAATTATAATTTTAAAAAAAAATTCCTTTATACACAAATGTCAATTCTAAAAAAATTTCAATTACAGAAGGAAAAAATTGTAATTATAAAAAAAAATTTTAATTATAATAGAAAAAGATTCAATTACAGAAGCAAAAAATTGTAATTAAAAAAAAATCAATTATAAGAGTAAAAAATTTCAATTCTAATATAAAAAAATTCAATTACAGAAGGAAAAAATTGTAATTATAAAAAAAATTCAATTATAAAAGGAAAAAATTTCAATTATAACAGAAAAAAATTTCCCTTACAAACAAATGTCAATTCTAAAAAAAATGTAAATTATAGAACGAAAAAATTTGAATAACAATCATAATTGAATAGAGAATAAATAAAAACTTAATAGGCAGAAAATTGTAAACAAAAATTGATATTTAATATTGTAATTTGAAAAATCTTCTATACCCAGTGAAAAAATGCAGTTATGAAATTGTTTATTAGTTATTTTAATTTTATTGAATTTAAATTTTTATTAAATTTTCCAATTTGTATCAAAAAGCGAAATTTCAATTTTTTAAAAAAAAACTTTTATGGAACTAATTTCACTAATTTACACATTTAAATAAATAAATAAATGAAATTTGAAATATTTGAAAATATTAAAATAAAAAAATATTTCAAATAAATTTAAACTAAAATTTCGCATTTTGTCGCTTGTATAAATTGTAAAATTTCTTAAAATTCGATAATTAATTTTCTTTCACTGTGAAAGAAATTGAAAAAAAATATCGAAAAAAGTATTTAAATTCAATAAAATAAATAAAAAAATCCAAATGAATATAGAGAAATAAACAACTATATTTTCCTTCACGAAAATGTAAATTTTGCTCTTTATCACATTGATACTAAATTGTAAAATACTTTTAAAAAATAATAACTACATTTTTCGTCAGTGTGATAAAAGAATATGTGCATTTGAAAATGTGAAAAACATTTTTAAATAATCTATGTAAATATTGTAAATATATATATATATATTCTATACCTACTAAAAAATGTAAATAATTTTGTACGTTTCTACGAAATGAAATATTTTTAAGAATAAAATATACATTTATTGAATAATTCTGATTTGTTCTTTTCTTGTTATTTAAAAAACCCTAATTAACTTAAATCAACTTAAATTAAATTTTATTTGATTCAGGTAAATATTTGATAATAGACAAGTAATCGATTGTATATAAACCAAATAAATTTTCTTTAGTGCATTTAATATAAAAAAATCATTTAATATTTTATAAATTTATTTATAAATAAAATAAAAATACCTAGTATTAAATTAACATAATATATAAAAAAAATAATAAATATTAAAAATTGAAGTTATATTAATAATTAAAAAAAAATATTTTCAAAATTAGAAATTCATATATATTCATTTTCAAAATTCCATGTGACAGTTTCATTAAAATAGTATACGAATTAATATTTAAATTCACTTAAGAAAATCTTTTCTCGTTCTGCATGTGCTTTTAAGTGTTAAAAATAATATTTCAAGCGAGAATTAATTATTTTCCACTCTGACAGAGATTTCTTCTCTAGAAAATTAGTTTTTACGAATCTGTCTCTTTAATTTTCAATTCTCGTAATATTTTTTTTATAAAAGATATAATAAAAGTTTTCATAATTATTCATTTTATGCTCTAATTAACTCCAAATATAACTTATATTTTTCTCGAAAAAAAGAATTATTTTTCAAAAAAATCGAATTATAATTAGAGATAATCGCATTTAACTTATTAGAGTTGAAAAAATAATCAAATTTGAATTACCTAAGTCAAACAATTAGTCTTCAATTAAAATTTTTCTGTTTCTAACCGAAAATTATAGTCCAATATTTTCAAAGATTGAACAATTAAAATTAATTGTAATTGGTACCTAATTAAATATCAGTCAAATTTCATTATTCACTGAGAAAAAATTTATTTGATTTATATAATTTTGCGTCTATCATCAAATAAATATTTTCCTGAGTCAAATAATTTTTATTTAAATCAAATAAATTGTACTTGAATCAATAATTTCAGTATTTGAAGAAAATTCGAATTGACGATTTAATTAAAAAATTATTTCATTAAAATAAATATTTTTTCAATAATAGAAATATTTATAATTTTATTGTTTATTTGAATTAACAAATTTTTTCACTTTTCAATTTATTGTATTTTTGCAGAGAAAAAAAATTCTGCTAGAGAATATTTATAATAACAAATATGTTATTTTAAAGAAACTTCTAAAGAAATGAATGTGTATACATTTTTTTTTTAAAAGAGAAAACTAAAAATAGGAAATAAGTTTCTAATTGAAATCCAATAGACGCGGTTTAGGAGCGATTCATAAATCACCAGCACAGAATACAAGCGTCGTCTCTAATATGGGGTCCAACTTTTGTGAAATTTACACCAAAAGTATAAAACTTGGAACGGTAAAATTGTAGGTGGAACACGGTTTGGCGACCAACTGTCTACCATGAAACCTCGTCTGACAAAGAAAACTCACAGTAGTTCCAAAGACGAATAAAAAAAGAAAGAATGAAAAAAAAAGAAACGATGAAACTTTACTGAAAAATATTCAGGTACATGAGAGTAAAAAAAGCAAATTCACAGAAAAACTATCCATTCAAATTTTTCAAAAAAAAAAAAATAATAATAATAATGATAATAATAATAAACATTCAAAAAATAAAAAAAGAAAATATTGTCGTTATTGAAAATATGACAAAACTGAAGAGATAAAAAATCGAACACGTTCATTATAGTCTCGAGAAAATAAAAAACGTCTTTAAAATTATTTTTATCATTTCATTTAAATTATTATTTGAGAATTTTCAAATCTAGGTATTTCTTTACAATTCAATTTTAATAAATTTCGATTATTAGGAAATTCTTCAATGAAATATATATTAGAAAATAAAAACTTCAAATAATTTAAAAAAAAAAAAATTCAATTAAACTTTTTCAAAAAAATTAATTCTACAGAATTGTCAATTAAAAATCTGAAAAATTCAAATTTTCAAAGCTTTTAATTTGGAACCTTTTCAAAATTCAATTATTTCTAAAGACTCTTCATGATTTTCATTTTCAATTATTATCTAAAATTTTAACTGAAATTCATTTTTAAGTAAATTTTTATTAGAAAATTCTTCGAGATTTCAATTATTTATTTATTTATTTATTTTACAATCAATTAAATACTAAAATAAATAATTTATTGCATAATTGAATGTTTCTCAAAATTGAATTCTCATAAAGAATTTTATTAATAAAATTTTAAATAATTGAATTCTTTAGACGAATTTAAATAAATTTTGCGATGAGAGTTTTACTATTTATAAAAATAGCTGATTCTCTGTAAAAAATTTTATTATTTATGAAAATAATGGAATTATTGAGAAAATTTTTTTTTTAAATTTGTAAATAAATAAATTCTTGTAAAATTTTATTATTTATAAAAATATTTAAATTTTTACGTATAGAATATTCTACGTCTTCTTAAAGTTTTACTGAAATTTTAAAAAATAATTGAATTCTTTCGAAAAACGTTATTAAAATTGTTTTAATAATAATTGAATATTTTTGCAAAGAATTTTATTATTTTTGAAAATAATTGAATTTTTGCGAAAAATTTTATTAAAATTTTTGAAAATAATTGAATTCCGGCGAAGGATTTCATTATTTTAAAAAAAATAGTTGAGTACTCGACAAGAATTTTATTTATTTTACTAAAATTTTAAAAAATAATTGAATTCTTTCGAAAAATTTTATTAAAATTGTTTTGATTATAATTGAATATTTCTGCGAAGAATTTTATTATTTTTGAAAATAATTGAATTTTTGCGAAGAATTTTATTAAAATTTTTGAAAGTAATTGAATTCCGGCGAAAGATTTTATTATTTACAAAAAAAATAGTTGAGTACTCGACAAGAATTTTATTTATTTTACTAAAATTGTTTTAATTATAATTGAATATTTCTGCAAACAATTTTATTATTTTTGAAAATAATTGAATCTTTGCGCAGAATTTTATTAAAATTTTTGAAAATAATTGAATTCCGGCGAATGATTTCATTATTTACGAAAAAAAAATATAGTTGAGTGCTTGACAAG